GTGGTGGCTTGGCAGCCAATTGCAAAAAGTTGAGTGAAGGCAATCAGTGAGGTGCTGTAATAGAAAGTACAGGGTGGTGGTGAAGGGAAGAGGCTCTCTTTGTGAAAGTGACATTTAAACTAGGACTTGAAGATGAAAGGATAAGGAGCTGGCCATAGGGCAGAATTGGAGTCTGATTGCGATACTGAGTCCTCCAGGCCTGAAGGACCAAGTACAAATGTAGTGGATGTGACATCGGCTAGAATCTACTGAAAGGTCTGTGTGATCCAGAGAGGGCATGAGACATAGTTGGAGAGGTAGGCAGGGGCCGTGTCATGGTGACCTTAATGAGTCCTACTCCCCAACCTCTAGGGCTCCGTCCTTGGACCTCTTTTGTCTATCTCCACGTACTCCCTTGGCGATTTTAGCTTATGGTTTCGGATGCCATCTGTTAAGCTAGTGACTCTTAAACTCCAGACCCATGTCTAACTTCTTACCCAGCAACTTCTAGAATTGTCTCACAGACATCTCAAGCTTAACATGTCTGAGACCAAATTCTTGATCTTCTCCCCAAGGAAACCTGCTTCACCCACAGCTTTTTCTCCATTTGACTCAGTGGCAGCTTCATCCTAGTTCTTCAGGCCAAAAGCCGTGGGCATCTTCCTTGACTTGACATCTCACATCTAGTTCATCAGCAAATTCTCTTGACTCTCCTTTCCAAATGCGTGTAGGATCTGACCATGTCTCACCATCTCCAGCCACCACTGTGGTATCTCTCCCTGGATTTTTTTTGACAGGCTCCCAACCAGTCTCTTTGCATCTGTTCTGGTCCTGTTCAGGCTGTTCCCTACTCAGCCACCAGAGTAATTCTGTTAAAATATGGGGCAGCCCTGTCAGTCCTGCTCAGAACTCTCCAGTGACTCCCATTTCGCTCAGAATAAAGGTCAGGGTCTTTACAGTGACACCCCCTGCCCCAGGGCCCTACATTCTTTGCCCATCCTTTGCTCTCCTCCTTTCTTCCTGCTCACCCTGGGCCAGCCACACTGCCCTCCTTTCTGGTCCAGGAGCATGCCCGGCCCCTCCTGCCCCTCAGGCCCCTCCTGCCCCTCAGGCCCCTCATGTCCCTCCCTCAGGTCCTTCGTAGATGCAGCTCCCTCTGTTTTAAATGCTTTTCCTGCTTCTAACAGTGTGGTTCACTTTCTCACCTCCTTCACCTATTAGCCCAAATGTCAGCTGCTTAGTGAGGCCTTGCTTTCTACCTTGCTTAAAATCACACACCCACTCCATGCCCTCACCTGATACTCCCCCTGCTGCTCTTCCCTGCGTTAGTTTTCTTCATGTTACTTTCTAATGTGCCATATAAAGTACTTAATTGGTTAATTATCTTCCCCCTTAGACTGCAAGCTCCTTCCCTGCAATCAGGGATTTCTGTCCCTATTCGTAGCTAAACCCCTAGCACCCAGAGCTGTGCCTGGCATGTAATATTACTTAATAAATATTCATCGAATGAAGAAATGGGAAGGCATTGAAAACTATTGAGCAGAATAGTGTCATAATCTGGTTTAGGATTTTTTAAACATTGACTTTTATTGACATGTAATTGACACACAGTAAAATACACAGATCTTTAGTGTTGCAGCTTGATGAATTTTGACAAATGTATACAGTTGCATAACCCACGCCCTTGTCATCCTGCAGAACACTTCCTAGAGCTTCTTGCCTGTCAATCCCACGATCCCTGCCTGCATCCAGAGGCAGGAAAAGAACCATTGTTCTGATTTCTCTCACTTAGATTAGTTTTGCCTTGTCATATAAATAGAACCATTCAGTATGGACTGTCTATGTATGTATATGTATTTATTTTTAGTCTGAGCTCTTACATCTGGCTTCTTTTGCTCAGCGTGATGTTTTTGTTCCATTGCGGTGTTGTGTGTATCAGTAGTTCCTTTTTTTGCTGAGTAGCATTCTTTTGTAACATACTACAACTTATTTATCCATTCTCCTGTTCAGGGACATTTGGATTGCTCCCATATTTTGGCTGTTACGAATGAACATTCATGTTCAGGTGTTTGGGGATATTTGTTTTCATTTTTCTTGGGTAAATGCCCAGGAGTGGAACTGCTGGGTCACAGGGCAGATGATGTTTAATTTTATGAGAAACTGCCAAACTTTTCTGAAGTGGTTGTACTTCTTTACACTTCCACCAGCAAGAGTTCCAGTTGCTCTGGGTCTTGCCAATTTTTTGATTTATGTCTTAGCAAATTCTTTCTGGCTGCTATGTAGAGAACCGGTCCAGTATTGCGCTGTGTAAGCTCAGAAGCTCATTCGGAAAATGGGGTTGGGAGAGGAAGAATCACTAAAAAGAAACTCCCAGATGGGCCACATCTCTGAATCAGGTGGAGCACTTGAGCCTTGGGCTATGTGTCAAACACTAGGAAATGACTTTCTCCCCAAGGGGTCTACTGTTTGCTTGTGTCAGATATCCAGATCTTTCTCCTTCCCAGAGTGGGTTGTGCTTGGTTTTGTGGTGGGGATAGAGATCTTTGCTCAACCTTGCTTACATTGCTTTTTGCCAAGTGATCTGAGGAGGTGTTCTTGGAGAATCCAGCCAAAAGTCAAGTCTGTAGTGCTGTTGCATTTTCTTCATAGCCAGAGCCCTGGAGTTGCTTGGGGAGCTGAGAAAACAAGCACAGGAGTGGGCAGCTGTAGAGGAACCGGCTAGCGCTGTGCTGGGAGTGTTCCTGCCCAGCATCTTCATTGGGCGGTGTAGTTCTTTAAATGTGTGAGATACTGCAAGAGACATCAATTTACTAATTCAGAGCTGGAGCTGGTGTTCTGCTTGAGGGAACATCCCCCTGGAGGGCATGTCCTCATGCAACCTAATTATTTATTAAAACATGGCTTGTTACAAAAATTGTCCAAATAGAAGGAAAAACAACATGGCTTGAGGTGCAGAATTAGCTTGCTGGGTGTTGGAGAGGTCAGTGGCCATGTCTTAATTCCCTTCCCTGGGGACACTTTGTTCTAAAGAATGAAGGGTACGTAATTAGCACCAAAGAACCGCAGTTGCTGATGTGAAGGTGAATTTGGGCTGGATCTTGTTCCATAGCTGCCATGGCTTTTGAGCATCTAAAGACCATTGTTATCTGTCATTCTATTTTATTTTGATTCCTCTGGGAAGTGGGAACATCTGTCATTTTAGACTAGTTAAAATGCCTAACCGGAGCTTTATTTTCTGATCCTGAGTCCTATCTCGTAGCTTGGTTAGAACTCGAGTTTGGTAAGCTTCTGTAGCAATAGATGCATGCGTCACCTCCCTCAGTGAGCACCTCGACCCATTCAATACTGCTTTACCTGTTTCAGTCTGAGTGGGAGATTTTTCCTGACCTTGGTCCCAAATTCTAGGTGCTTGTTACTGTAGCTCTGTGTTCAGTTTGGCCCTTGTGCCAAGTATTGGGGAGTAAGCTGTGACCAAGCCAGACACATGTCCTGCCCTCATGGAGCTTACAGTTTAGCAAGAAAGGTAGAGAGTAATTCAAAGCATGATGAAGTTTATGAGCGTGGCAGGCAGATTGCCATGGGAGCATATTGCAAGGGGATCAAATGTGGCTTAGGGGTGAGGGGAGGTGGTCCTGGGAATGGTCTTTACAGTCTTAAAGGGTGAGTAGAGTTAGCCAGGCCAAGGGAGAGGTGTCTGACGGCTCTGGTGGACTGGAAGAAGTCTGTGTGAAGTGGGGAGGAGAGCTCAAGGTGAGGCAGGAGAGGTTGGGCTGGACCACAGGTGAGCCATGTTAAAGACCTGGGACTTCTATCCCCAGGATGAGTTGCTGATAAGGGTTTAAGTGTGTTTGGGGAGAAGGTGGTCAGATTCGTATTTTTAAAGGTTCACTTCAACTCCTTTTTAGAGATTAGATAAGGGACTGGGAGGAGGGGGGTGATGAGATTGGAAGCTGATAGACCAATTTGGAAGATGCTGCAGGGTCCCAGGCATCAGATGACCGTGAGGTAGATTTGGGAATGGGGTCAGGGGGATGGAGTGTGGCCCTGCAGATGGAGAGAATGGGCAGGTTTGAAGGAAGTGGGTTAGACAGGCTTTGAAGTAGATGAGCAGGACAAAAGCAGGAGTTAGGGATGGTTTAGTTTCAACTTCATGGGAGCCAGAGAAGGGAAGCAGCATTATGACTCTCCTGTCCTCGCTGTTTTGCGTATTGCAGGGGTAGAAGTTTAGGGACCCTGAAATTTCACTGAGATTCACTGGGTTTTTTTTTTGAGACAGAGTCTCACTCTGTCGTCAGGCTAGAGTGCATGATCTGGCGTGATCTCGGCTTACTGCAATCTTTGCCTCCTGGGTTCCAGCGATTCTCCTGCCTCAGCCTCCTGAGTAGCTGGGACTACAGGTGTGTGCCACCACGCCTGGCTAATTTTTGTATTTTTTAGTAGAGATGGGGTTTCACCATATTGGCCAGGCTGGTCTTGAACTCCTGACCTCGTGATCCGCCCACCTTGGCCTCTGAAAGTACTGGGCTTACAGGCATGAGCCAGCATGCCTGGCCTTCACTGGGGGTTTTTAAAGCCAGAAGATGCCTTTAGATTTAGGGAAAGGAAGTGGAAAAGTAGAAGCCCGGGGTGGCTGTTCTTTGAGGGACTGATCTCATGGTGTCTTGCAGGAGTTGGTGAAGGGCGAAAGACAGCAAAGAACTGGATTGTAAGACTCATTGAACTAAGAGTGTAGTGTGTGCCCGGTGTGCTGTGTTGCAGAGCTCTGTTGGGGAACAGTAGGAAGGGAAATGGTATGAACTTGAGAAGAGGGACTTGAGGCCTCATTGGGCATTCTCTCAGCACCTGTGTCATTGGAGAAGAAATCAGGATTTGCTCTGTGGGGTTAAAGGATGAAATGAGTGCCCACCTGCACAGTCTAAGGATTTACCATTCCCAGCCAGAAGTGGCCTGCCTCTTCACTGAATAGTGCCTAAATTTCTAGCCTTGGTCTCACACCAACTCTCTGGATTTTCTGGCCGCAGGAATTGGATTCAAATACGTGGCTCTGGGAGACCTCATCATCCTCATCACTTTTGGCCCGCTGGCTGTGATGTTCGCCTACGCCGTCCAGGTGGGGTCCCTGGCCATCTTCCCACTGGTCTATGCCATCCCCCTTGCCCTTAGCACCGAGGCCGTTCTCCATTCCAACAACACCAGGGACATGGATTCCGACCGGGAGGCTGGCATCGTCACACTGGCCATCCTCATCGGCCCCACGTTCTCCTACATTCTCTACAACACGCTGCTCTTCCTGCCTTACCTGGTCTTCAGCATCCTGGCCACGCACTGCAGCATCAGCCTGGCGCTCCCCCTGCTCACCATTCCCATGGCCTTCTCCCTTGAGAGACAATTCCGAAGCCAGGCCTTCAACAAACTGCCCCAGAGGACTGCCAAGCTCAACCTCTTGCTGGGACTTTTCTACGTGTTTGGCATCATTCTGGCACCAGCAGGCAGTCTGCCCAAACTTTAAGGGGACCAGTAGCTCCCCCCATGACATATCCCCGTTTCTTAGAATGTATTGAAGTCAGAGCCTCTGAGGAAGGAATGTGATTTGGCGGTCAGGGTACTAAGCATAGTGGGAACTCCCACCTTTTAAAAATTGTTTTTGTGTTCTTAAAGATAATATGTTGTTTTTCTGTTTTGTTTTTTTCCCCATTTTATGGGGAATTTAAAAATCGTTCTTGTATTAGAAGGTGAATTGGACGCATGGTCCTTGTTTTATTAATAATTTCCACTAGAGGGTGTTCTCAGGTCATTTTGCAGTGAAGTTCTTCTTTGTTTAGTACAAAATGTCTTCGGACTTTGTGAAGGAGCTGCCCAGTTTGGCCTCCTCTCCCGAAAAGGCCCTAATAACTAGGCAGAGTGTCGTCCTGCTTTCTCGGTCTTGTATGATGTGGTATGATTGGTGTCAGGCCTCACTAACACAGGGGCTACCTGTCTCTTACTCTTAGCACCCGTGTCTTGCGGCATGCTGCCTGAGAGAGAGTCCCTCATTAACAGCCTGTGTGGCTGTCAGCTTTTTGCCTGCATAGTGATTCCGGTCTTTTGTTCCTTTCACTTATTGCCACAGTTGAGGAAAAGTGTCAGATTACTCTGCAGAAAGACAGTCAAGCCCGGGACTGGGAAGAAAAAAAAACCACCCTGGAGGCAATGGAGAAGATCACTGCTTTTGGATAGAAATCAGTAGGGTGGCTGTTTTCCCTTTATTGTATCTACCAGAGTGACAGGAAGGACTCTCAGCCCTTTCAGTAACTATCAGGAGCCCTGAAACGGTAGAGTCGCTGCCATCCTTGTGGGATACTGAAAGCCCAGAGGGCTTTTCCCTCTGGATTGCATCTTCTGATGTTCTCCATGCCCACCCTCCACCTCTCCACCTCTGTGTTGTTCCCATTTGTGTATTTCCCATCTGTGGAGCAAGACTATTTGAGCAATAGCTTAGCAGCCAGTCCGGGACAGCTGCCACTTTCCACAGAGCCACAGGATGGGCAGAGCAGGGATCCAGTGAATGACTAGCCAGTGGATAAGCAAGTCCTGACCTCTGTTCAGCCAGAGTGATGGGCCCTAACAGTGAAGGGGCTGTGTCTTCATCCCTGAAGACATGTGCAGTATTGACCCTGCCTCTCCCCGAGACTTTGTGGAAAGATAGTTGAGGGCTTCAGTGAGGTCACACCCAGAGTGGGGCGGTTCCAGCATTTATCCTGGCTACGTGTCATTGCATTGCCTGTGAAGTGTAATTACGAGGCCAGGATTGCTCGGTTGCATTTGATCCAGGACTAAAATAGATTGAAAACGGTCGTCATTGTTTTTTCTTGTGATTATAGCCATTCTCGTAGGTATTTCAAGGTCTTGGCCTGCAGAAAATAATGTAAGAACTAGTTCTTAATCTTTCAGATCCAAGCTCATGATGATGTGGAACCTCGAGTTTGAATTGATTGACTTACTTGGAAAAAAACATGTTTGAAAATTGCAGCCGGGCGCGGTGGCTCAAGCCTGTAATCCCAGCAATTTGGGAGGCCGAGGCGGGTGGATCATGAGGTCAAGAGATCGAGACCATCCTGGTCAACGTGGTGAAACCCCGTCTCTGCTAAAAATACAGAAAATTAGCTGGGCATGGTGGCACGTGCCTGTAATCCCAGCTACTCAGGAGGCTGAGGCAGGAGAATTGCCTGAACCCAGGAGGCGGAGGTTGCGGTGAGCCGAGATCGCACCATTGCACTCCAGCCGGGTAACAAGAGCGAAACTCCTTCTCAAAAAAAGAAAAAAGAAAATGGCAAAAGTTCCTCTAAAGTTAAATCAAAGGTGGTTTGTCTAGCAGACAGCCAGAATCTTCTGATGGCGGGTAGAGTCCAGGGATAAGGAGAGAAAGATGACCCTTCTCCCCTGTGCTTCCCAGCACCATTTTCGTTTCATACTAGGCTTGTGGCTTTTTGGTGCTCACAGGGGTTTTGCCTTCTGACCTCTCCTTGGAGTGGGCCATTCTCATGCAGGGCTCACCCTGAGGCTGGAGGACCACTGGCTCCCTGCGTCCACGCACCACGCATGCCCTGGTGGTCACTCCCATCCGGGCTTCCAGCTCTGCACTGTGCCCCGGTGCAGATTTTAATGCATATTTTTATATATCAGTGTTCCCCAAGGCCAAATTTGGTGCCAGGTTTTATATGCAGGTCACTGTAATTTATATTATGTCCCCTGCATCAATGAAGGTTTTCTTTAGACTTCTTAATTAAAAAAAGAAGGAAGAAAGTGTTCGTCAGTGGTCTGGCTTCTGGTTTTTGCTTTCTTCATGCTTATTGTCAGATTGTGAACTCTGATTTGTAAGTCTCAGGGAGACCAAGGCAGAGACATTGGACATTCAGGCTGTGGGGTGGGGCAACTGGTGTTTGGTGATGAGTTTGGGTAGGGTTTGACCAGATTCAAGGGGCCTTTAGAAATGGCAGTGGGACTGGGCATTTACAGCAATTTGTGAGGGCAAGGTGAGAGGATCACTTGAGCCCAGGAGTTCGAGACCAGCCTAAGTAACATAGTAAGACTCCATCTCTACAAATTAAAAAAAAAAAAAAAAAAAATTAGCTGGGTGTAGTGGTGTGTTCCTGTAGTCTCAGCTACTCAGGGGGCTGAGGTGGAAGGATCGCTTGAGCCTGGCAGGTCGAGGCTGCAGTGAGCTATGATCACACAACTGCACACCAGCCTGGGCAACAGAACGAGACCCTGTCTCAAAAAAAAAAAAAAAAGCATTGGGGACTCCATGTAGCTACAATGGATTTGCCAAGAGCCAGACAGCAGTCAGGCCAGATTAACCTCCTTTCATTTCATTTTTCTTTTGCTTGATAGGGTCACTGTGCTGATAGATGGAGAACATGAGGTAGATTGAGTACATTTGGGTTTCAGCTAGGCATTGGACAATATATCCTATGAACAAGGCAGAGAGATATGTGGGATGGATAACAGTGGAATTAGATAAATTCCTGAGAGACTGAACAGGCGGTGGGAGAGCTCACTGATCAGTGTGTCAGTGTCAGCTGGGAAGGAGCCCTCAGCACTTGGAGCTCTGTCCTCTGCCCTTTGGTCAGCTGGATTCAACACCTGTTATTAATGACTCGGATTAGGCAGCCAAAATAGAAGATTTCACGAACCTTGGAGGAGGAGCTTACAAAATGACTGACAATTAGGAGTCTCATAAATCAAAAGGCTGCTTTGATGGATCAAAAGAAAAATGTAGTGTGAATAAATACAAAGCAATACACTGGGGTCCCAAAAATCCACGGCATGAATATCAGAGAGAAGGAGAGCCACGGTGTGACAGCCATGGAGATACAGGGGTATGAGTTTTCTCAGTGACTCTGGAATCTGACACTTGCCTTTCTTAATTTCTTTTTTTCTTTCTTTTTTTTTTTTTTTTGAGACCAAGTCTCAGTGTTGCCCAGGCTAGAATGGAGTGACACGATCTCGACTCACTGCGACTTCTGCCTCCCAGGTTCAAAGCCATTCTCTTGCCTCCCCAGTAGCTGTGATTACAGGCACTCACCACCACATCAAGCTAATTTTTGTATTTTTAGTAGAGATGGGGTTTTACCATGTTGGCCAGGCTGGTCTTCAACTCCTGACCTCAGATGATCCACCCATGTGGGCCTCCCAAAGTGCTGGGATTATAGGCGTGAACCACCGTGTCCTGCTGCCTTTATTTCTTTGAGTCAGATTTATTCTGCTCCCCAGTCAGGTGGCTGGAAATTCAATGCCCACTACCTCTTGAGCACCCTCCTGTCTGTGATAATCCAAGACTCCTGGCCTCTCTGGGGCCAGATCCAGGAGTTTGTGCTTACCATCTGTGAGGTCACCTCTCTACTACTGGATGCTGGCGTTTGGCCCTGGAATCTGCCCTTGTCTTGGACACTGTTCCTCTAGAAGGGTTCAGGATGCCCCTCCCTGGTGACAAGTACCAGTGGGGCACTGGTTCCTGCTACTCCAGTCACATTTCTGTCCAGTCTTGGACACTACCATTCTACTTATGATGTCCATCCACCTCCCATACTCAAAGCATTTCCCTTCTTCCCTATCCTTTGCAGGGCCTTCGCTGAATCCCACCCAGGGGACCTTTGGAATCTCTGGCTTCTTCTGGAGTCAGGTGGGAAAAGAGGAATATGACATATGTTGTCTAATGCTTCCATTACTCCTATATTAAAACCAACACCAGGCCAGGTGCTGTGGCTCATGCCTGTAATTCCAGCACTTTGGGAGGCCAAGGCGGGTGGATCACTTGAGGTCAGGAGTTTGAGACCAGCCTGGCGAACATGGTGAAACTTTGTTTACAAAGAAATACAAAAGTTAGCTGGGTATGGTGGTGTGCGCCTGTAATTGTAATCCCAGCTCCTCGGGAGGCTGAGGCAGCAGAATCGCTTGAACTGGGAAGCAGAGATTGCAGTGAGGCGAGATCACAGCACTGAACTCCAGCCTGGGCAACAGAGCGGGACTCTGTTTCCTAAAGAAGTAAATTAAAATAAAACCAACACCTGAGCCTTTGACCTGGGCCAAAGCTTAGTCTGAGTCAGTAATGAACTCCAACTTCCATGCAGGGTAATGTGATCTGAAGTGGAATTAATAGAATTAGTGTCCAGAATAAGGAAGGCGGAAGTTCTGCCTGGGCTGGGGCCAGTCCTGGGCACTTTCTTCTTTCTTTTCTCTAGATATTAATGGAATCAGTGTGGTGAGAGATCAAGAACATGCTGTGGGTATAATGTGCTTGGATTTCAGCAAGGCATTTGACCACATGCTATGAAATATGGAATGGGGCTAAGCGAGGTAGCTCATGTCTGTCATCCCAGCACTTTGGGAGGTCAAGCCGCTGGATCACTTGAGGTCAGGAGGTCCAGACCAGCCTGGCCAACATGGCGGAACCCTGTCTCTACAAAAATACAAAAATTACTGGGGCTTGGGGATGTGCACCTGTAATCCCAGCTACTGGGGAGGCTGAGGTAAGAGAATCACCTGAACCCGGGAGGCAGAGGTTGCAGGGAGCCAAGATCGTGCCACTGCATTCCAGCCTCGGTGACAGAGCAAGACTTCGTCTCAAAAAAAAAAAAGGCTGGGCGTGGTGGCTCACACCTATAATCCTAGCACTTGGGAGGCCAAGGTGGATGGATCACCTGAGATCAGCAGTTTGAGACCAGCCTGGCCAACATGGTGAAACCCCATCTCTACTAAAAATACAAAAATTAGTTGGGTATGGTAGTGTACACCTGTAATCACAGCTACTTGGGAGGCTGAGGCAGGGGAATTGCTTGAACTCAGGAGGTGGAGGTTGCAGTGAGCTGAGATCAAGCCATTGCACTCCAGCCTGGGCAACAAGAGTAGGATGTTATCAACAAACTGGACCTTGTTCAGAATGTGGTTGGCAGATGCGTGGGGGTACATAAAGCCATGTCAGCCTGGAAAGGAGAGCCACAAGAGGGCTATCTTGGGGAAGTCAGGTTGGCTTTTTTTTTTTTTCCCCTCTTTTTCTTTCTTTTGTGTGTGGCTTCAAAGGGTAAAAACTAGGACCAATGGGTAGAAGTTATATGTCTCCAAGTTGAAGTTCTTAGATCAGGAAGCTTTTTTTTTTTTGAGACAAAGTTTAGCGCTTGTCACCCAGGCTGGAGTGCAGTGGTGCGATCTCAGCTCACTGCAACCTCTGCCTCTGGGGTTCAAGTGATTCTCTTGCCTCAGCCTTCTGAGTAGCTGGGACTATAGGCGCCTGCCACTACGCGCGGCTAATTTGTGTATTTTTAGTAGAGACGGAGTCTCACCATGTTGGCCAGGCTGGTTTTGAACTCCTGACCTCAAGCCATTCACATGCTTTGGCCTCCCAAAGTGCTGGGATTACAGGCATGAGCCACCATGCCCGGCCAGATCAGGAAGGTTTCTTAGCCGTTAGAGAAATCAGCAACTGGGATGTTCAAAATGTCCCAGTGGGGTGGTGAGTTCTTTGTGACTAGAGGCATTCAAGCAAAAAGATGATTCCTTGTCAGGAACATGGGCGTGACGAGTCACATCAGAGAGGCGTTGGATGAGAAGACCTCTAAGTTCTTCCAATCCTGTGATTCAGTTGTTCTGCTATTACAGGATTGTCTTTCAGACCTGCCCCAGGGGTTGGGAGGACAGAGTACAAGAGCCATGTTGACATTTCCTCTCCTTGATGTCAGATTGTTGACTATCTACCCATCGTGACAGGAACAGCTGTGATTGATATTCTTTTGTTAAAAGATTTTACACACACGCACACACACACACAAACGCATGCTCACAGAGTTGATTTTACCTCGAAAGCCCTTGAAGTGAGGGGATGACAGCTCCTGTCCTCTGAGCCCTGCGGACCACTCTGCTGCTAATGGACTGTCAGCCTCTTTCATTATGGGCTCCTGACTGTGCAGGCTGGTGTAAAGGAGTGCCTCTGGCAAGGACCTGGCACTTGGGTTCCAGCCAGTTGACATTTGTGATCTGCCCTTCTTCAAATTGGGACAGCCCTTCCACCGTGAGTGACCAAGCTAGGATGGCGAACGGTGGTGTAAACCGAGTTGGGTTCCTGCCTGAGGAGGGGACAGAGGCTGAGTTTGGACTCATCAGGAGGCTGGCAAACGGCTTCCCGGGGTTGGGGAAAAGCTGTAATTGCAAGACACAGACTCATTTCAGAAGATGCTGGAGCTCTGGGAGGAACAGTGAGGGCCTTGGACACACGCTGCCAACCAGGCTGAGTGGGGTAACACAGTTGGTCTGGGGCCCTTCTATGATGTTAATGCATCCCAAGGGGCAGAGCTCTGAGTGGTGTGATTCAAGGGCTCCTCCAACGTCCGCACTCCCATGCTCCTGCCATATCCTTGCCCATTTCTCCCCCAGCTTGGCTTAGAATTGCCTCCCATTACCATCACAAATAGGTTTAACAGGGAAGACAACAGCATGGCGTGCGTTACGCATCTATTAGTTTGTCAACATGTTTGTTACAGTTTGTCCCAGCAGGTGGTAGAACCAGAATATAAGGACCGTGTTTTCTTTTCTGGCCCATCTCAGCACTAGCAGTGTGTGGTGCAACAGAGCAGGCACTCGGTAACTGGTTGTTGAATGACTGAGTTACATGGGAGGGGCTGGATGCTCTCGGGCTGACTGAGAGGTGTGAGAGTTTGGACCACTACATCACATCAGCTGGCCAGCCCTGAACAGTAAAAATAGGTGAGTTCCATTTGGGGTTGAGAGTAGAGGAGAACCATGACAGTAACTCATTC